CACGTACTTGAAAGCCAGTTGCCTAGCTCTCACCCTCGTCCGACGCAACAAATTATAAGCGTCGGTAGGAAGGAGTTCGTTTAAATATATTTTCCCAGGAATATTTCTGGAGAAAACCTCCTCGATAGTTAGACCATGCCTTCGACGCATGACCCGCAAAATGTAATCACGGACCTCACGCGACTTAAGCACGACTATTATAGATTTTTTAGAGCCGCGGGCTTGAGAGTCGGGGACAGAGATGGAAGCAGGCCCTCCACCCAGCGCCGCGGACGCGCCCACCGCCACATCACGGGTCTCAAGAACATCCGCAAGAAGTCAAGAAATATCAAGAGCAAGAAAAACGCTTTTAACGAGCTCACTCGATGTGTCAGTGAAGTAGCCTGGAATGCCCGAGATAATGATGTCGGATGTTCGAGAGACCAACGATGCAGCAGATGAGCCGAGACCCGACTGCTGAGAGCCACACAACTGCGCGCCCGCAGCCTCCAACGCCGCAATCCTCTCTCCGTGATCAGATACGGTTTTCACTAGAACGGGAATCTGATCGAGTTTACGCGCAAAGTCGGCATTCACAGACTCCTGATGCTCAATGAATGCAGTGATCCTCCTATCAGACTCATCGAACCTGGCCGTGAACTTTTTGTCGGATTCATCGAGTTTCAGCAGGATCGACTGTAGCAATGCATCGGTTGTTGACGACGCGCCAGGGGTGATAGCCCCCGCACTCGGAGAAGGAGCACCGAGATGAGACCCACGCTCATCCCTGGGCGTGAGCGGCATGGTCGACAGCCCAGTCCTGCAGCAGTCACTGGCTGCCCTGGTAGCGAGATACGCTTTAACACAGCCCGGATGAAGCACACGATGACACTCCGCGCACGATTCCGCCGAGCCGGCAATAATTTTGGTACACCTGCTGCACTTGCGCTGCATAGGCACAGCCAACCTACACCGAGATCTCACTTCTGCTATCGATCGACTATCGATCGAACTCGAGATCAAGCACGCAGGTCGGCCAATCAGATCGCAACGGTGCTACTAGCGACACTAGCCGTATCCTGCGCCAGTCAGCCAACAGAATAATAGAGCTCACGTGGATCGCAATGGGTGCCACTCTAACGGCATGCACACTCCAAGAATAAGGTGTAGCAAAGAGCAGATCAGACAGCAGGCGCACGCGCAACAAGGGTCAACGTCAGTCCAGATGATGACTTTCAGAATTTGGTTAGGATTCCCAGAATTACTTTTTGCATAAATGCCAAGACTCAGATAATAGTACCGTGTAAAATGGCCACAGCATGCGACGAGCAACCAATGACTTGCTTATACCTGCAACAAAACGGCCCGAAGGCCACTTGCGACAGCAAAAATATGCACTCAAGGCAGGAGCAGAGATCACAGACACCCGACTATACTTGAGAGAGAGAGAGAGAGAGAGAGAGAGAGAGAGAGAGAGAGA